TTTTTTAATATATATTTTAAGAGTGTTATTAATATATTAATTTATATAAAAAAATATTAATATTAATATTATTTTAATTAATTAAATATATAAAATCATTCACGAAGAATCAAAATAAAAAGCAAAGATTTAGTTAGAGATAAGTTGTACATATTATACTTACAGAAAATATTGATAATTTATTTTTTATTTTTAATAATTAAAATTTATTATGATTTTTAAAATAAAAAATATTATTATTGTAATAAATATGATAAAAAATTACTCTTCCAATTCCAGAATTTTAGATTTCTGTTTTAATTTTAGAATTAAAGATTTAAAGACACTTTATATATTTATCTACTTTATTTTTAAAAAATTAAAATAAAAATTTTTTTTAATAAGATAAATAATTAAAATTAAGAGATAATTATATGCTTAAAGTAAAAAAATTTAGTTATCTCTCTTAAAAAATTAAAAAAGCTAGTATTATTCTGAGAAAAATTCAAAATTAAAAAATATATATTATTTTGAGAAAAAAAAATAAATTTCAATAATTCATATCTTTACTTTTAAATTTATCACAAATTTATAATAATTAAATTTATCTATTTGCCCCTCCCCTAATTAAATCCCTAAATTTCCTGCACCCATCCCATCCCTCTGGTAAGCAACAAATCTAAAATTTATCACAAATTTATAATAATTAAATTTATCTATTTGCCCCTCCCCTAATTAAATCCCTAAATTTCCTGCACCCATCCCATCCCTCTGGTTAGCAACAAATCTACCTAATATGCCAGCAAGAAAGAAAATTAGAGAATTCGTATAATAAATCTGATCCAAGGGAGAAGAAAAAAAAGGAAAGTAGAAAAAATAAGTGAAAACGTGTTTTATTTATTTTTACATAATTATGAATTATACAACATGATAATCCTCACATCTTAAAAATAAAAAAGTATCTTACAACTTAAATTATTTGAGACAATAAAATATTCATCTTTAAACAGAAAAAGACCTTCAACAAGAGAGGGTATTAACATTATAACCCTTGTCTTGGACTTCTCGGGTAAGGAAAGCCTTTAGATCCACCGACCATCTATTTAATGGTAAAGAACTTCTTCAGTTAGTGGCAAGATTCGAACTCATGGCATCTCTCTCCCTACCTCCGTCTCCCTCTCCTCACAGCTTGAACCAGTCGTATCTATCCTATAAAAGAAAACCATTTAAATCATAGAACAACGAACCCACAAATAAAGTAAAATAAAATCCCTCACTTCGCCGCCGCGTCCAAACGAAGGAACTTGTAAATGAAAAAAATAAGTACGATAATCGCTGAAGTAACCCCGATAATGTTTTTCAGTTGAGGGTGAGCGGAAATGGTTAAAGAACAGGTGATGGGTGGTGGAGAAGAGGGGTCGGATTCGTTTACGCTCTGAGGATCCGACATCTAGAGGATTAACAATAATAAAAACCTCTCCGATTCGAGATGTCCGAAGGCCTTTAAATAGCACTTTAAAGTCAATTGTCGTCTCTCTACTTTAATATTTTATTCGTTCTTGCCCTCTATCGTCCCTTTACTCTATGAAAGAGCCAAAACGTCATCCCTCTACTTTTTTTTTGTTCGTTGTCGTCCCTCCCCTAACACCGTTAATGTTGCCATTAAGTCTTAAACGGTCAGCAGTTAAACCCATTTATTCTTTTTTTTTTTCCACATGTGCTGCCATGTGCAAGAATGGGACCACTTTGCCCACTTTACCTCCCTGCTTACTCAGACCCCATACTTTCATTTTTTTTTTTGTTGCAGAGATGCCCTACTTTTTTTTTTTTTTTTGTTGCCAAGATGCCAACAAAAACACTTACGAAAAAAAAAAGCCAAGCAAGGGAATCATCATTTAACTAACTTAAAATAATAAATTTAATTAAATA